AACAATAATGTTTGATGCAACACAAGATTATGGAGTTGGGTTGGGAAGTTCTCCCCCACACACCATATTCTCCAGATATGGCTCCATTAGATTACCATCTTTTTCGTTATCTGCAATACCATCTTAATGGGAAAACGTATGCAAATGTGGAAGGTGTTAAAGAGGGCATCAACATGTTTTTTGCTTCAAAACCAAGTGATTTCCTTAATTAGGAAAGCATCACTGATAAGAATGGAGACTATTTCATTTAATAAATGTTTTGTTTTGATATACAAATTATTCTGGGTTTTATAATCTAAAAAAAGCGACATTACTTTCTTGATGACCTAATATAATAACTTCTGATTACAGAGCAAAACTAAAAATCAACCTGGTCATCAATATAGCAAATATTGGGGCTGTTAACTCACTTTTCACAGCCATCACAATACTTGAACGAGCTACGTGGGCCTTGCTTAACCAGGCAACACCAGATCCAGCACTAAAATTCTGTATTGGCTTACCCATAAAACAGAAGAGCTGTATCAACAGCAAGCTAATCTTGATCCTGGAGCGGGTCGTGAACCACAGCGTCAACAGGAGAAGACTGCATTAGTAAATAATAACTTCTGATCAGAGTAAGCTATGTACCCAGAGCAAAACTAAAAATCAACCTGGCCATCAATATAGCAAATACTGGGGCTGTTAATTCACTTTTCACAGCCATTACGTTACCAAAATGAACTGCATTGGCCTTGTTTAACCAGGCAACACAGTTTGTTTTTTAGTTATCCCAATGAAGACTGATTTATTCATCATAACTTGGTTCTAGTACTTTAAATGAGATGAAAAAGTATACTCAATTTTATTTATATACAATTTGAAATATTGTAATGATTAACCCTTTTCTGGCCTGTAGAAACCGAAACTAACAAAATGCACCATTTTTTGTTTGTCAACATTATTTAGTGATTAAAATATAACAATAAATATACCAAAACAAAGAAAAAAATGCTCTTCTTAATAAAATAAATAATTTACTCAATAAATTCAAAATCCAATCATCGCAGTAGCACTAAAAATAAATTTGTAATTTTCATAACAAATAAATATAGCCAAATCTTAAAAATGCTGTAGAGAAAAATACATATTTGAAAGTTATTTTTACAAACTGCTGATCTCACAACTTTTTCTTTTTTCTGCTAATTTCAACCATTCCTTTATATATATATATATATATATATATATATATATATATATATATATATATAATTATTATCACAATATACTAGT